TTGGGAGCTCAGACTGGGAGGGTAAGGCGTGGAATCACCAGGCAGACTCTGGGGAGTTTTTGGAACACTTCCACTTTATTCAGGAAATTCACCGGCTTATATAGGGAACCATGAGGAGCGTGGGAGGAACATTTAACATTTGGAGATATCTTATTGTCCAGACATGGCAGAGTGATTTTTCTTGGGCCAGGCGAAGGAGTCATGGACTAGGGGCGGAGGTGTAGACTGTTGGACCCAGCATCTAAGCACTTAGGCGAGTTAGCTCAGCCTTAGCAAGGTCTCTGAGTTAGCTCAGGAGACAGCAGTGCAGTGAACCTGGCCCAGCTAGGCTTGAACTTCTCCCACACATCCCCTTCCTTCCTGCTGATTTATTTACAATTTGGCCTTTGTAATCAGGATCTGAATTCCAGCTCTCTAACAGCTCATCATTATTTAAAACTCAGTGAGCCTCAACTTTCTCATCTGTAAAATGGGTCTAATATGGGGTCTATTTCACAAATTCACAGTGAGGAACAAATGAGACAATGCACGTGGAGTACCTGCTCAGCTTGGTGCCCTGTTACCTGTCTGGTTCCATCACTGAGCTTCGCCATGGGACCACAGCCAGGCTGGTGCCCTGTCGTGTGCCTGACACCTCACAGTCTGCCCATCCAGCCCTATGTGAAGAAGGAACAGAGGCTACTTCTGATTTTCTGGGTAGATCAGAGAAGGAAGGTGTCATTGGTATTTAATGATGGTCAGAAGGAGAAAGGAAGAGAGACTGAGGGTCAGAAATTAATAAGAAAACATGTGCATTAGGATCTTTCTTGACTATTTATCACAAAAGTTTAAAATGATTTTAGAGTAATACAATCTTATTTTAGGAAATTTGAAGAATATAAAACATCCCAAAGGTATATACTTTTACTACTCAACAAAATTTGTCTTTAATATTTTATGTTTCCATATAGCTTTTAGAGGATATTCATGTTTCTTTTTTGCAGTAGGGATGAAATGACATGTAATTAATTTTTATGTAATTACCTGTTTACGTGTAATTACCTTGATTTTAGAGTGTGTAAGGGCAGAAACTATGCCCGTTGCTGAAGGTCCAGTACCTGCTATACAGAGGACAGTAGCTCAGTGAAAATATTGAATCAATTACTAAAAATGATTTGGTATTTTGGTTAGTTTTTATTAGTTCATGTTTGCAGTTCATGCAGTTTAGAATCATCTTGGGGAATCAATACATGTACATAATACACTTTATTATTATTATTTTAAATACTTTTCCCTTTCTCTCCCTCTTCCTCCAATTCTCTTTCCCCATTTTTTTGGTATGAGAGAATGAACTCATTTTTATTCTTGTTTATATTATTAATCTTAGCTTATGTTTATGGCATATAATGCTTACATTCATTGAGGTTATTAGGTTCCTGTACATAGCATATCTTTATTCTATCTATTTTAAAGAATTTTAGTGTTATATTTCTCCATGCCATTGTTTCTGTATTTTTTATTGATGGCTCGGTAATCTATTACCTAAGTGATTTGACATTTATTGTTGGATGTCTGGTATACGTCAATTCTTTGTTATTTTGTCATTGTTGTGACAAGTATTCCGGCGCACAATTATATGCCCGATCTTAGGTCTTCAGATTACTTCCTTACAGTTGTTTCCTAGAAGAAGAATCTTACTGTAATGTCTTCTTTGAAATATTCTAGAATTCTTTTTCTTTTTTATTGCTTGTAAAACATTCACATTTACTGTTTTGTGATGTTTTCTTTGTCTCTGATGAAGCCCAGGACTCAGCCTTACCCTCCTGTTCTTTCTGCAGGAAGTAGATAGCCTGGTTCCTATACCAGAATCTCACCTTTTTCTGGATTCCAGACGACTGATGAAAATGGCTGATTTTTTTTCTTCTTCTTCTCTCCCCTCCATCTCTCCTTTCCCTTCCCTTTTCTCTTCCTCTTCCTCTCTTTCTCCTTCTCACACTCACCTTTTTAAGGTGAGTAAGGGGTTAAAAAAAACAAACAAAAATATTTTGGTATATGCTGTGGGTACAGAACCAAGAAAAACAATGAAAGGGAGGAAACAAAAGAGAAGAATGAGGGCAGAGGAGAGGGGAAAAAGAAAGCTGGAAAAAGAAAACCTCAAAGAAAAAAAAAGGACGAAAAAACAAACAAACAAAAAAACACTTTAGTCTAAGAAAAGTAGGAAATGAGGAGAAAAAAGAAAAAAATATCTCATGGTATCAAAACATTTATTTGGGTTTATTTTTATAAGTCTCTTTGGTAAAAAATTTATCTGATAGCCTGTCATAGATTTGAAGCAACTATTATGCTTTCATAAGTTTCATTTTTATTCAACTCCAAGGTCAGCTTTTGTAAAAGTTGCCTTATTTCTGTTGTTCTTCTGGGACATAATTCTCACACAGCTCCGTGGCACAGTTATGGATTTTGGGGTGGTGCTCAGTTGTTAGTATCCCTGATAGAATGTGGTGTGGCCAGTTGAGCAGTGCCTGCCAGGGTGTTCCTGTCGGGGGTTGATGAGCAGAATGTACAAGAGCTCTGTCACCTCCTGTGCTTGCAGGCAGGGCTTCTCAGTACTCTTCTGCTCTCGTTTCTCTAACATTACAACAGAGGTTTTGAAGTTTTAATCTTGCACTTCTTTATCCTCTTAAAAAGGATTTAGGACTATAAATAAGTTTTATTTATGGCAATTATATTTAGTAGTACCACCTAAGAAATCAAAACAAAAATTTTAAATTCTGAATCCATTTTCAAAATACCAGAAATACAGGGCAGTGGGGAGAAAGCAATCCCTCTCCACTGTTGGTGGGAGTGCAGACTGGTGCAGCCACTGCGGAAATCAATATGGAGATGACTCAAATAACTGGGATTAGAGGTTCCATTCGACCCAGCTATCCCTCTGCTGGGTATCTTCCCAAAAGAATTAAGAGAATCATACCACAGTAATATCCGTGCACCCATGTTGATAGCAGCATAGTTCATAATACCTAAAACTTGGGAACAACCCAAATGCCCATCAACTTGAGACTGGATAAAGAAGATGTGGTTTTTCTACAAAGTAGAATGCTACTTGGCTATAAAGAATGAGAAACTAGAGACATTTATAGGGAAATGGGTGCACATTGAGGCTTTTAAGTGAAATAAACAGGACACACTTGAGTAAATACTGAATAGTTTCTCTGGTGTGAAAAACCTAAAAGTGTAAATAAGGCTCAGATGGTATAATTGGGAGCATGAAATCAGAAGAAAATGGCTAAAGGTGAAGTGGGCAGGAAAGGGGAAAGGAAATAAGGGAAAAGAAAAAATGTGAAAAAATGAAAAAATGGAAACAAAGTCTTTGTCAATAGGAAGGGAGGAGGGGTGAAGGGAGGGCAGGGATATGGGGAAAAAATGAGAACCAAGATCTGTCATGTAAAGGTACAAGATCCCAGTGATGAGTGTAAATGTATTGTTTGCTTTAAATGCACCAAGAAACTTAATGGAAAAAAATAACAGAAATAAACCCACTATATGCTAATATAATTAGTACGGTCTTAAGAGAAATGCTCCCCCAAATCCCTGAGAAAATAGCATTTCTTACATTTTGACGTATTTCTTTAACATTGGCTTAATAGAAGACAACTTGATTCATATACATGATTCTGCACTTAATCTGTTAAATGCAGATTTACCAACACCTTTTTAAAAAACATATGTAAAGTCTTCCCTCAATCAGGCATAACTGAATAAAAGGTGAATACTTTAGTGACTTTTTCCAGATAGTTGTGGATACTGCTCTTTGATATCACACTAAAACTTGACAAGTGGTAATTTCTAAAATACTAGCTGTGCTGTGGAACCTGGAACCATTCTCATAAATTTTTCATAGTTTATTATACATATTTATTGTATTTATTATTTTATTTTATTATACACAGTCCATTGGTATAATTGCACCTTGAATGAGCCATTTACCCCTGGATGGTTTTGCACCATCATGAATTAGTCATCGTGAAAATATTAGTTCACTGAGTCATGCAGATCTTCCCAATATTGACACACTTTATTTTACAATAAAAAATCACATTCGTTAACATTACCATCAATTTCATTAAAATAATCGTTAAGACTTGAGGCACTGACAAGTTCATGCTGGTGCATATAAGTTTTTAAAAATTCTTTTGAAGGCTTGAATTGTATTGTTGGTGACCAACCTTGGTAGTGATTTTCCTTGAAGTGTCAGGCTCGCTCTGTTCCTTTCCGAGAAAACATCTGCCCACATCACGGTAACTGTCACGATAACCGTCGTTGTCAGTGAGGCGTCCTTCCAAATAAAAATAAGGTCAAGACCCAACAAAAGTAACAATATTTATTACTCAGTAAACGACACTATTGGATGCACCCCGCTCCCCCGCCCCAGGAGTGCAGAGCTAGGAGGGGAAGCTGACACCGCAATATCCTGATGGGTGTCGAGGTGCCGACAGGTCCTCTGCGATTGCTCTCACGCCATCAGTCCAGATATTGACACAGAGGAGAAGGCAAAGTGCTGTTATTCCGATAATAGTTTTGGGTTTATGAGACCCTTAAAAGCCTTGGCACAGGTCTGAGGTGCACACCTGGGGACCCCAGAGCAGGCCATGTGCCTTTATGGTGACAACGGTGGCAGCAGGGCCTGACAAGTCTCAAGTGCTGTGCCCGGGGCTTCTCCTGCACCATCTCCACAACCTTCTGGGTTTGCTCTGTTCATCCCCCTTTCAAACGAGGAAACTGAGAATCAGAGAGGAGAATTAACGTGTCTAAGCTCACACAGAGGACAAGTATCAGAGCCCAGGAGCTGCCTTTGGAGCCTGTGCTCCACCCTGCTCTGTTTTAGGTGGAGAGGTCATCAGGATGGCAACGTGAAGAAACACCTTGCCAGGGGCGGGAGGCCTGAGCAGCGCTTGTGAATCACGGACCCAAAGGTCTAAGGAGTCAATCAAAACTCTCCCTTAAATCTGTTTTCCTTTCAGGTTCTCCCAAAAGTCCTCTGAGATGGCTGGTCAGAGCTCTTATTTCCATTCTGTAAGTAAAGAATCAATGGTGCTTAGCAGACAAACATCCCTTTGTAGCTACAGAGTCATACATTGGAGGAGCTCCACCTTTTCATCAGGGCCAAGGATGCAGGGATCTTTTTGGCAGCTTCCCCTCTTGGTATCCTGCTGTCACAGGCCATGGAGGGGCATATGGCAAATAGATAGTGGTCCCGAGAGGGAGGAGGGTGTCGGAGGAAGAGAAGAGAGGGGAGGAGAGGGGAGGGGAGGA